ATACTGTTATTATTAAAATGTTATTAATACTGTTAAACTCACTGTCTTAAACAAGTCATTTACTAAACAGAACAGTGAAACTGTTGACTGAGTCTGAGACCCAGTTCTTCAAAAGACCCTTGAACAAAACTGGTTTGGTAAAATCCTGCCTGGGGGAAGGGAAAAAAACAAAACCACAAAAAACAACTTTCAAACCGAAAGGGTCAAAATAGAGAGCAGCTGGGCATGGGACTGAACACCTCCTCTGATCCTACTCTTGAGACACAGATGTAACACTGAAACCTCAAGGCAAGCAGGAGCAATGTTTTGAGATTGTCTAAAAGAAAAGAACAAAACACAAATAAGTAACCAACTCCAAAACCAAAACAGCGGAAGGAATTGAGTGCAATACCTAAGTGTTAATTAAAATAATCCATATAAAGAACACGGAGTGGGGAGGTCATGTCTGAAATCCCAGGACTCAATAGCCCAAGGCAGGAATGCTCAAAAGGTCAAGGCGAGCATGAGCTACAAGTGTGAGAGGCTCAAATAAATAAATAAATAAATAAATGGAAAATGCTCAATAAATGTTAGCTAGGAGTATTATCAGCAAAACAGACCAAAAAAATGTAACTGTCAATTAACTTTTACTTATGCTTTTGTGTTTTGTTTCTCTACCCAGAGGATTCAGCTACTTTTATTCCCTGAATAGGAACAAACATTTGAGGGTTTAATCTCTTGTTATAGTTTGGGGATGCTTCTTGCTAAGAGTAATACAAGGGCAAATCCTTCCTTCTGAAGTGACGAAGGAAGGCTATGTTGGCAATAACCTCGTGGACTAGGTAATTTTTGCTAAATTTTAGTTGGAAAGGGGCTTCCACACCTGTCGATTTTCCCTTCAAACTTTCTCTGGTCTAGAAACAGTTACATTACAGTGGGAACTAAGTAATGCCACCCAGACAAGACCAAACTTCCAGAGAAGCTTCAGCACAGCTACGCAGGTCCTGTCTCCAAGTAGCCAAAGACAGTTATGAATAATGTGGCTCAACACAAGTAAGCTTTCTTAAAACATATACCTACCCCCATGGGGGTCACAGCCTGACTGTCAAGACTGGACATGTCATTGTAGTCCATGACGATAGAAGCTCAAACACTACTCTCCACATAAAGCTTTTATGCATGCTGTATTAGAAAAAAAGAAATACTAGTATAGTCTACCTGGGGTACAATCTCAGCCTCAAAGTACTTTTTATAATGTTGGGGATTACAATACAACGATTTGTCTACGTGCTCTAGGGTACTTACTAAACAGCTCCCAGAACCTCCAATTTCATTCTAGAGTCTGTCCATAATGAAATGCATTACCCTTTCCACAATAGACCGTTGAATTCCATCGGCATTCAAATATCTGAGTGCTAAAGACCCATGTTTACCCTCCACTCAGTCTCAACAATGTCAATGATACACTGTGGAGAGCACAGCTTCGCCACTCTCGAGACCCACCTTCCCAGGGTCTTTTTAGCACCAAGCAAGAGGCTTGGAGGGTTCCAGTTTGTTGAGACACAAAGGACTCAGAAACGAGTAACGATGTGCTCTCATATATAACGCCTTGCGATATGTACATTAAGAGGACAAAAGAAAAAGGTCCTTAAAATCTCTCAAGTTCATAGTAGGGTACTCCAGTTCTCGGCTGTACTGGGCACTTTTTTTGTTAGGAACAGGAACAAGAGCCAAAACAGGCTTTTTTAGGCTCAAGATCTTTACAACTAATCCTGAGCTCTGGGGGTGAAAGGCGCACTTCGTAATAAAGGGCTTCCCGGCAGCGCAGCCTCGGTCCCTAGACCCTTTAACCAACGGGCTTTAAGCGAGCAGGACTTCCGCAGGAAGCCGGGGCACCCTCCGGGCCCTAGCCTGGAGCTGATAAACAAGCCCGGCGGCGTTGCCACCACAAGGTTCCGGGACGCACCGAACGAGCCCGAACCTCCTTTCCGGGTCACCGACACCTACCAAGCCACGAGGCTCCCGGTCGCTGCTGGATACAGGTAGGCCGGACCCTGACCCGGCCAGGCGGCGGCCTCGCACTCCTGCTTCCCAGTAGCCGCGCAACCCACGTCGGGATACGGTGCACCACCGCCCGGCAAGCCAGCGATTCGCCACGCTCGGCGGGCTCCGCCCCCCCACGTGGGCTGCGCTCTGAATGGCCGAGACCATCTGCGGCGGGCGCGGGAGGGGACGCTGCGGGAGGGCGGGGACAGAGCCGGCCGGGGTCTTGCGGGCCCTAGGGCCGGTCGCCGCGCTCCTCGGATCTGTCACTCCGCGGTCATGTGGAGAGGGTGAGAGCTCCGCGATGTCGCCCTGCTAGGGCCGGCCTCCTCAGGCTGCATTCTCCCCCCGCGCAGGGCCGCGGTGGTGGCGCCGCGACCCCGCCCTCGCGCGCGGGTCCTTCCCTGTGCTAGCACGCTTCTCCGGGTGCCAGACCCGGCCCCGGCGTCAGGCAGCTTTGCTTCTGCGTTCTGTCACTGCCGGGGTCCCAGCCTTCTCGGGCCGGGGCCTCCGGCGCCGCGGCAGGACGGGGAGAAGAACTATGGCATCCTGCGTGGGGAGCAGGACTCTGAGCAAGGATGATGTGAACTACAGGATGCATTTCCGCATGATCAACGAGCAGCAAGTGGAGGACATCACCATAGACTTCTTCTACCGGCCGCACACCATCACCCTGCTCAGCTTCACCATCATCAGCCTCATGTACTTCGCCTTCACCAGGTGAGTCTGGCCTGGAGTCAGGCAGAGCGCCAGAGAGCGGACAGCAGAAACGACAGGGAAGCAGTGGAGGGGTGGGTGGCCCGGTGTGACTGGTGGTGAGGAAGTGAGTAGCTGTTCGCTGCGTGCAAGCTCGCGGACTCAAGGGCCACGCAGCTCCTCCTCCGACCGCGTGGCTTACAGTCCTCTCTGCCTACTCTTTCACCTTTCACTCCTCATGTCCAAATTCCATCTCTTTCATTCACTGCGTCCGGCCACACCAGAAGCTCATGCAGGTCACCTAGCTGGGTTACCCACACCCCTTGCTCTGCATCATTCCCTGTCACTACCAGGAGGCTCTGCTCCCTAACCACTTCATCCGCGATCTGTCCCCAGCAAACTGCATGAACCATTTCATGATTGAATCTCCTTCAAGTCACACTACACACATAAAACACACCATACACCGGCCCAGTGTACAGGGAAATCCTCTCTCATTCAGTATTACCAGGCACACACACAAATGCACATGTGAAGTGCACCACACTGTTTTTCCAATACAGTACCCTTTGTATATATTTTCAGTCATCTAGCATAACTCTTCTTCCAGTGTCAAACATCACCTCTATGCCACAGCGTCAGCAGTCGCTGTTGACACATCCCAGTGGACACCTCTCATCAAACACAGGCCAATACCCATCAGCTCCAATGTACTGTACTCTATAGGCTACAGCTGACCACACATCACAAGGGGCATACCCTGCCCTGCCATCTCATGCATCACCATACCGGCTGAAAGGAGATAGTGTCAAGCAATTGTGTACTATCTGCCAACCGTACTAAACAAAACACGTAAAATGCACACAACATAACACAGCCCTCTTTTTCCCCTAAATATATACACATGTTCAGACCACTTGTAGTAGCTGTGCGTGTTCGTACCTTGCAAGGGTACTGTATCTGTGGCCCCTTGACCTCAGCCAAGGAGCATACACACCCTTGTTTCTATCTACAATTTATATTATCTGAACTACATTTTTTAAAGAGGGGAGTCATTCCCTACCTACTACACCCTTATGGCTTCCAAGAGTAACCAAGAAAGACAGTTGATTTCAAAACTGGCTGTGATTTAGGGGAGTTATTTAGCATTGTTCTCAGTGTGAGGGCCCATGCCTGCAGATTAGGGAGACTAAATGACCGTGTGCACTGTTGAATAGAATACCTGGTACCTGATGCTCTGAGTGTCTCCCCTTCTTTTTGTTTGTGATAGGATTAGGCCGTATAGCCTTAGCTACCCGTTAACCCTCACTCCTGCCTTAGCCCAGTGTTGGGAGTATAGGCTTGGACCACCATACCCAGCTTTTCTTGGTATTTTTATCCAATAATCAGTCAAAATCTGGGGAAAATAAGTTGACCAATCATAAGTTTTGAAGGAATTACTAGAGGGGAGGGCAGAAGCATGTAATGCTGCATATGAGACAACACTGTACAACACAGACTAAATTGCAAATGTTTATTTGTATATGTTATTTCAGACACAGAAACAGTAGGTAAAGCTATTCTCACTTAGGGTGCAGCTCCCATCATTGGAAAGTGTGCTAATATTTTGCAGACCAGACCCTTCTTCCTTTAGCATCTAGCCAGTCAGATTTCTAGCTTTGGGAAGAACTCACTCTCGAGCCTAATTATGGTTATCGTCAACTACTCATCATGCCAATCGATGTTACCGTATAAAAGTTGTATGACTGCCGAATTTTTTAGTCCTCAGTCTCCTCATCTGTACACAAAGTGAAAATACCAGTATTAACACCTCATGGGATTGTCACGAGAAGTAATGTTTTTGGATAGCTGTTGCTTACTTAGCTAAGTGCATGGCACACCATTTCATTGTTTGATAATACTTTCTAAGCTACATTATTGCTGAGAAGATATAGTGTGTTATGGAATTGAGAATGAAGGTAGAGATATTGAAAAATGAGCCTTGTATAGCACATCTGTCTACTTGTTCTACATTAACTTACGTCTAATTTCCTCTAATAGGTGGCTTTGAAGTGATGGAGTGGTGAGAGGGTTCTTTTGAAATGACAAAAAAATACTACTACTATTTTATTTATATAGTTTTGTATTATACTATTTTATTTTAGATGATGAAAATCAGAATGCATAATTTGTTTCAATCAACAGTGTGTCTTTAAAATTATTGTAGACCCTTTCAAAATACAGCTGTCTTTCTCTTTTCTAATTCAGAAAGTAATGTTCTGGAATTTCTTTCGTAGGCCATATTCTGTCTAGTTGATGCGTTGTAGCAGGGAAGTATGAAAAAATGAATACAAATCTTAGCAGCTTGTGAAAAGCAGTTTTTTTTTAAATCACTTCAACTTTGAACTATCTTTCCAAAAGTTATAACAATTTTATTTCTTATGCTAATTTCATAAAGAAATCACATACTGAGGAATTAGTTACCATTTACTTTGCATAAGATCAGATGCATAATTAATAGAATTAAGAGTTACTAGTGTCTACTTTTTGTACTAGTCTATGATCCATGTAAGTGGGATATTGTAATATCTCAGTTTTTCTCCATGAAGATGGAAAGTAATGGTTTCTCAGATACACGTTTTTCACACTATGCTCTTTTTTGTAGTGACTGTCTATAGTGCCTTATGCAGACTTATGGTTAGACAATGTTCAGTGCAAGTCCTTTAATCAAACTTTTAAAATACGGCTTAATTTTTCTTTCTCAAAGATTACTTATCTAAGAGAGTAGTCTCCATCGAGGGTGTTGTATTATCAGGATGTCAGAACAGTGCTGGGTGAGAACATGTGCGATGAATACCCTGCAGGAGTTTCAGATGGTGAGGGATTTGTCCAGGAGTTCTTTGTTAGATAGTTCTTTAGTCACTCAAGGGTACTTACTGATGGGAGGTTCAATACAAGACATTGCAAGATGGTAGAATATTACAAGATATTGGAAGATGGTGGAACCATTCAGAGATAGTACCTACTGGGACTATGACCACTGAGTGCTTATTCTTGGAAGGTTTCTTTTATGTATTTCATTACCGAAATCTTACTAGAAGGGTCTTATAATGGAGGAAACTTGCACTCTCTTTCCCTATTTTAAATATAGTCATTTAACATAGTGAGTTTCAAGCCAGCCAAGGCTACATAGTAAGACTGTCTCAAAAACAAAAAATTGACACCAAAAATTTCAATCACACATGCCCCTGCCATTGTTATCCATGACTGAAAAGCTGCAGTGAATTGGCAGCCCTCTGTTAGCACTTGCCAACAGAAATTGTTCCCTGTGTAGATGAGATTGTCTCCGTGCAAATGACTGTACCTATGTGATTATTAATTCATTTGCCCTTCTTTTCTCCAGATATAGAACTAAGAGGATAGACAAGGGAGAGGGGAGTGGGGGAGCGGATAGATGCTTGCTTTGTTTTTGAGTAGTGGTTTTTACTTAATTTCCCTTACCAGCTTTGCAAATTCCAGTATTTCATTTTTCCTTGGGCCTCATTTCTGGCCTTTCTGTGGTTCTCAAGGGGTTTCTGCCAGCCTTCCTGATTTCTCTTTCAAGAGCATTTAAAGGCCCCCCAAAAATGCTTCTATACATTACTAATGAGGTTGTCTTGATCCTGCTTTTTTTATTGATTTTTTTTCCTCTCTCTGTAAGAGAAACCTTGATGTCTCTGGCACCAGCAATATTATTTAATGTGTGCAGTATTGGCTCAAGAAGTATACAGCTAGTGCTAGACCAGCCCTAGCCACAGAGTGCCATTAGGCTGCATTGTTAGGTTACACTGGAAGGACAGTTAACATTGATCCTCACCACTTCTCTTTCCCTGTTATTTGAATCATTTTAAAATTAGGATTAAATAAGCATCTTTTTAATTTTTTTCTTAAATTTATCTGGTTTTCCTCTTAATAAATTGCAAACCTATTAGATAGAAGAGCTATATGTTTCTTTGAGGTCATCTTTAGTGAATAGACCCTTGGATGACTCAGATATTTTGATTTCAATGGTACCTTACCCTGAATAGATTATATATTCAGACCTCTCGGTAAATGGTGCTACCCTTTCAAATACTTGTTTATTGTTTCAGACATAGCACAGTTTAATCTTGTGATACAATCCTCATAGCTCTTGATTTGTGTACAGGAGCTAGCTGTTTTTAAATTTGAGCTAGTCCAGAAACCAGGACTGGTCCAGCCTGCTTGGTCTGCTTCATTGGTCCTGGCCTTGTGTTCAGTACTGTTCAACAGCTGATCTGTCCCTATTCCACTCAGCCTGACTCTTTGCTATTCTTGAACTCACCTGGGTTATCTTTAGCAGGTTTTTGGGACCTCTTGTACCTGTTCTCCATTGACTGTTTCAAACTTTAGCTTAGTGAATCACCAGCCCCTTGGAACAGCATACTCCCAAGCGTGTCTTCAAGGATCATTACCTATTAAAGCAAAACTGTAATCTTGCCTGGCTGCCTCTGCTCGGCCCAGGGAGTGGCACTATCAGAAGGTGTGGCCCTGTTGAAGTAAGTGTGGCCTTATAGGAGTAAACATGGCACTGTGGGTGTGGGCTTTAAGACCCTCATCCTAGCCTCCTGGAAGTCTGTATTCTGCTACCAGCCTTCATGATAATGGACTGAACCTCTGAATCTGTAAACCAGCCCCAATTAAATGCTGTCCTTGTAAGACTTGCCTTGGTCATGGTATCTGTTCACAGAAGAACAATCCTAACTAAGACAGAAGTTGGTACCAGGGACTGGGATATTGCTTCGATGAGCCTGACTATGCTTTTGTTTGGAAGAATGTGGATTTTGAGACTTTGGATTTTGAAAACAGTGGAATGCTTCATATGGGGCTTAATGGGCCATCCTAGTAAGATTATGGAAGACTTTGTTACTGGGAATGATGTGAATTGTGCAAACTTGGCCAAGAGTTTCAGTGGAGAAGAACTTCAGTATGTGGCCTAGAGACTGTTTTAGTAGCATTTTGTTGAAGAACTTGGCTGCTTGTTGCCC